ATCTAAAAAAATAATATTTAGGCTATTTCTTTCAAATGCTTATAAAAATAATTCGAAATCACATTTCTGCCTTAATCCAAAGTTACTTGCTGTACATCTTTCTAAAAAATAAACAGGTTTAATTCCTTTTTCTTATATTCAAGCTTACTAAAACTAATCAATACCTTCAAATTCAAAGAACTGCATATTTATAGTCTTCATTGATATTCTTCATAATAAAGTAAGAATCCATCTTAAGCCAGAGATAGGCTCTTAACAAACTACATTGAAACATAAATTTTATCTGCCCCATCAAGATGCTTTCACAAATAACTACCCTTTCTCCAACTCTATTTAAAATATATCTTGAAAACTTTCAAATTCTCTCCTTAATTAACAATGATAACATATGCTTCTCTTGAGGGCCAAAAAGATCTATTAAATAAAACCTTGGGAAAAAATAATTTTTTATTTATGATCCCCTCATTAGTGTCATCTTGAAGAATTACGAGTCTTAGAGTTGTAACAAGCAATGGGATCTGCTACCTCTATTGGCTTCAAAAGTACAGTAGATAAAATTGAACAAAAAAGGATGCAGAAGAACTAAATTTCCATCTAGTTTTCGCATAATCTAATTAGATGTAGGATAAATGAATTGATTAGCATTTAGAGCACCAAAAATTTCATGATCAAAATAAATCTTTTTACACTTTTGCTTTATAATTATGAATTTTTTAGATGTGTATATTATAAAGAAAAAAAATACATGACTATAGATTTCGGTCATAATAGAATTTCATAAAGTTATTTAAATCAACTTTATATTATTTAACATAATTTACATAATGAATACAACTATTGGTAATGAGAGAATAATCTTATGGATTCTATGGTTAAAGTTCTTTAACGGTAAACTATTTTGTGAATTAAGATGATTAATATGTTTCTATCATTTCATAACATTTTTCTTCTCTTTCTTAATCTGTGATTTTGGAACTTGTGAATCCTTCTTTTAAGTAATGCAATTAATATTATTCATTTTCATTTGTCTTTAGAATTATTGCATAATGATGAAAAAGACCCTGACTAAAATATTTCTTCAAAATATTTAATATAGTATTTCCACTTTCTTCTATTCTTGAAGATTTAAGGGATGAAACTAATGGTCGTTTAACAAACTCAATTTAGGATACAATTT